CTGAATGGCTGAAGCTAACACTTGCTGCTGTGCAGCCTCGGCCAGGAGTTAGCACCCGGGGCCAGCTCCTGCCACCGCGTGGCCAGAGCCCTGGAACAAAGCTGTGGGCTGGCGCCTGCTGCTGTGCAGCTGGGGCAGAGGATCAGTGCAAGGAGCTAGGGCCACATGGCTGGAGCCTGGGGCCAGTGCCTGCCACCACACGGCTGGAAATACGGGCCAAAGGCCAACTGAAGCTCCATGGCCAGAGCTGGGGTCAGCACCTGCTGCCCTGTGGCCGGAGGCCGAGGTTGGTGCCCAAAGCCCTGCAGTTGGAACCCACTGCTGTGTGGCTGGGACCGGGGCCTTTGACCAGCGCCTGACACTGCATGACGGAAGCCTGGGACTGGAGCCGGGGGCCAGCATCTGCTGCCATGCAGCTGGAACAAGGGGCCGGAGGCTGAAGCCTCACAGCTGGAGGCCAGGGCTGCGTGGCCAGAGCTGGGGGAGTCAGTACCCACTGCCCCGCGGTGCAGTCAGAGCCTGGGGCCGCATGGCCAGGTTCCTGAAGTCTTGCCGCTGGAGCCTGCCGCCCAAACCCCCTCCCCCCAACGTGGGTCAAGAACTCACCTTGCTCCTGCAGCATTGTGCCCCACCTCTCTCCAGAGGTGGTGCAGGATGGCGCATCCAGGAGCAACAAGGAGGGAGGGGCTGATGGTTCCCTCACCCCCCCGTCACCGCCCAGGAGGCTGTCGTGGCTGCACGAAAAGTCCACGGTGGCCGCATTTGAGAAACGTTGCTCTAGACAAACCTGGGCATCTTTATCGCTAAGATCTTGCCACTTTTACTCACAGATACCCTGTCGTGCACTGGCAATGAAATGGAAGCATTGGCAATAATAATAGTACTTAGGCGCATCACAATCTCATGCTTATGTCAGGCTTCTAGTGGCCTGACATGTAGCAATTGTCATTAGGTTGCTGAATGGCAGAGGATTTTTCTGGGTTATTCCAGACTCTGAGAGATTGACCTGAAATTTCCATCAGTTTATCTAAAGTCCTAGAATTTTGATATTAATGGGCTTTTTTCCCTTCTGAGATATGATGCATCTTTGCCATCTTGCCAACATATAAAGGGGTGTCACACACAAACATAACGCTTCAGTCCCCCCCACCTCCCACTACCTCGGAAATGGGAAGGAATGTAAGCTTTGAAAGTTTCTTAGAAATGGGGACTTAGAGAGTAAAACCTCTAAGGAGGGAGCTATTTCCTATCAAAATTTCATTTTTCACTTTTTCTGTGGAACTTGGAAGCCAGCCCAAGAAAATGTGTGTACAAAGCTCCATCTTCAGAGTCCATCATTCTCCTCCTCATCCGGGCAAAGTTAGACTTGCCTATTCTAAATCCATTTCAGGCATCTATGGTTGGGAAAGAGTATTTAATTTTTAGATGACTTAGATTCCCTTAAAGACACAGCAGGGCTTGTATTCCCCATGAGACTCCAACAACACTGATAACTAGACATGAACTGGTATTCATTACTCAGATCCAAAACGTGTCATTTTTACTGAATAAAATTACAAACATCTTATATATGCTGGCCTCTGTTTGATTGAACACCAGAATTTATTTTTGTATTTCACATTATATTAATGAATACTGTGCATGTCATTGCTTTGCCTTTGCTCCAGCAGAATGGGGATGGAGGGAATTACCAGTTACAAGCCCTGGGAAAACAACCTAGGCAAGAAGCTTAAAGGGTGACTTGATTATAATCTATAGCAATGGGCCTGCACCATTGCTAGAATTTCTTTTGTGCTACAGGAGAAAAACCTAGTATATAAACACATGATTCATTGAAACAAATTCAAATAATACAACCACACACTTGCCTCCCAGAATGTGGTCAAACATACACCCCCATTTAGCTAGCACTTCTAGGGGTATCTCATTTCCTTTACCCAACTGGTGAAGGGACAGCCACAGTTAGAGAGGTCCTGACTTAGCAGATCCAAAATGATCCTCCATAAATCTGGTCTTGAGAAGTGCTGCACATGATATAAAATCGTAGATAAGTTTCTGAAATTTTGGTTGCTTTCTGCTAACTAAATATTTTCCACTGATATAGCAATCCGCATTCCAAAGGCTCCTGGAGTGCTTTGCAAACTAGATACATATGGCACCCACTGAAATGCAGCCATCTCTAGGGAAGAGGACAAGACCCAACTTGCAAACAAGACACAACACCACAGTGGAGGTGAAGGGAGATTTTGGGCAAGGATCACAGGGCCAAACCTCTGCTCTCATTTAAACTGCCCAGGGTCTTTAATATCCATGCAGACCAGACAGGACCTCAATGTCATAACTTGGCTCAGCCCTCCTCCCTGGAAAGACACTAGTCTGTTGTGACTGGACCCAACTTCTGGATCTACGTGTAAGCGGGGGAATGGTCCCGCTATTGTGGGGAACTTTCCTGGCTTCTGCACTACCCCGGTGAAGTGGGCTAGCGAAAGGATCCAAGTCCTCGCTCCCACTTCCTTTACCCAGAGGCCTCCCTGCCCTTGAGGACTCCCCTTCCACTCTCCTGTCTGGCAGAGTCCTCGTAAACCCCGACAAAGCTGGGCCCAGGATTCCTGGGGGGGCTCG